GGCGGGACAGCTTCACAAGAAAGCAAAGAATTTTCAGTAACTACTTGAGGCTTGCTCTGATGACAGCAACTGGCACCCTTCTTTGGTCTGGTGCCCCCACTCACCTGCTCCATCATCCCGCTGCAGCCAGTGCCCCGGTGGTCAGTGCACATCATAGGGACCGGTTGTTCAGTTGTTCTGCCGTTCAGTCTATTTGCATTTTAGGGTTTTATAGACCAGAGGCCCACGGGTGGGGTCTAGCCGGCCAGGCCTCAGTCAGGGTGGACCAGGGCTCGGCCTGCCGGTAGGAGGAGATGGCGGGAGGTTGGCCACCTGGCCTGCCTGGATGGGGCAGGGCCGCCTCGGGGAAAGGGCTGCAGGCAATTGGCCGGCAGACCCTATCCCTGATTAGGGTTGGGGTGCCGATTGGGGTTGAGGCTGGCCATGGGGAGGGGCTGTGGGTGGTGGGCCAGCTGGTCCCACCCCTGAATGGAGTGGATGGGGGTGTTGATTGGGGGCCAGCCATCTGGGGGAGGGGCCATGGGTGGTTGGCCTGTTGGTCCTGCCCCTGATCAGGGTGGGGGGCCAATCTGGGGTGGGGCCAGGTAGAGGGAGGGGCTGCAGAAGATTGGTTAGCCATATCTGCCTCCTGTTGGGGCTGTGGGCCAGTCTGGATGGTGGGGGCCCATCAGGGGCATGGCCAGCCGGAGGGAGGGGCTGTGGGCCGATCAGGGTGGTAGGGGCCCATGGGGGGGGGGTGACTGACTGTGGGGAGGGGCTGCAGGAGGTTGGCTGCCCAGCCCCACGCCTTAAGGTGGTGGGGTGTGATTAGGGGTGTGCAGCCAAGGGTAGGAGCTGCAGGCCTATCGTTCAGGGGTGGGCTGATGGGGGCACGGCTGGCGGGGTAGAGGGGAGGAAGAGGTTGTTTGGCTGGCAGGCCTGGCTCTTGATCGGGGTGGGAGGTCAGCAGCAGGGAGGGGCCTTGAGGTTGGCTGCCGACCCCACCTCGTGATCAGGCCAGTCGCTGGCCACAGTGGGCATCATAGCAACTGGTTGTTAGGTTATTATGGCTGAGAGGTGCTCCATGTACCTCCTGGTGACCATTTGTTTGTGACACTTCTTGGCCTTTTATTATTATGACTAGAGGCCTATTGCACAAAATTCATGCATGGGGGGGGGGGGCGGTGTCCCTCAGCCTGGCCTGCACCCTCTCCAATCTGGGACCTCTTGGGGGATGTCTGACTGCTGGGCCTACCTGGCAGTTGGACGTCCCTCTCACATTCTGGGACTGCTGGCTCCTAATTGCTCAACTGCCTGATCACCCCCTAATTGATCCCCTGCCGGCCTGATTGATGCCTAACTGGTCCCCTACCAGCCCAAACGCCTTCAACTGTCCTCCCCTGCCGGCCTTATTGCCCCCAACTGCCTTCTGCCAGCCTGATCTCGCCCCAATTGCCCTCCCCTGCCGACCTGGTTGCATCCAACTGCCTTCCTCTGCTGGCCTGATCTTGCCCCCAACTGTCCTCCCCTGCTGGCCATCTTGTGGTGGCCATATTGTGATAATGTGGGGGCGGTCATCTTGTGGTAGCCATCTTGTGAAGACGTGGGGTGGCCATCTTCTGACGACATCGCGCAACACCATCTGTGCTTTTATTATATGGGATTATAACATGATCACTACAACAAGTTAACATCCATCACCTCATAGTGATTGATTTATTTTCTTGTGATGACAATAGTACTTGTTGTTTTAATCAGCCATCAGGAATTTGGAGAAGTACAGGGCAAGAAACTAAGAGCCAGCAAATATTTATATAAGATATTGGGCTTGACTACATGTAGACTTTGGCTACATGTAGAAGCAGATTTTGTTGGTTAGAAATAAGGCTGGAATGGAGGAATATGTAAGATACAGATGTAGTTCCAGTGCTGTGAATATGTTTGCACATATTCTGCAGCCCAAATGCTGACGCCATGTCTAATTTTAAGGTTACTTTACTCAAACCATGTATGGAGGAGGAAAATTAAAATTTGTACCCTTTCTCTTAGGAGTTCTCAGTTACTTGAGAAATGCACACAGAAGTTAGATTAGGGTAAACAAAACAACTATCCCTGCCTGACACCATCCTGGAGAGGTCACTGCTCGGAGGGGAAGAGACTGAATTCTTCAGGTGCGAAGGGGGAACAATGAAGGGCCATGCTATATCCGCACCTCACAACAACCCTCTGAGGTAGAAATAATCACCCTTTGTAGCAGATGAGGAAACTGAGGTTCTGCTTCTTATTTATCACCTGGTGACCTGAGTTAATGACCTCTCTGAGCCTCAGTTTTCTCATAAGTAATGCATATATGCATATAAGTTCTTTGGTTAATCTCATCGCTTTCCCCCTCTCTCTGAGATTCTTTAGTCTATTCCATGTTTCCATGCTTCTGGTTCTATTTTATTAATCAGTTTACTTTGTTTGTTAGATTCCTTGTTTGTTTATTTTGATTTTTTTAGAATAGATATGTATTTATTGTCATTTTATTATTCAAATTTTTAATCTTTTTTTTCTTCCTTCTCCCCCTCTTATTCAAGAAGATGCTTTAACATGTCATGTAATACCGGTTTGGTGATGATGAATTCCTTTAGCTTTTTCTTGTCTGTGAAGCTCTTTATCTGACTTTCAGTTCTAAATGAGAGTTTTGCTGGGCAGAGTGATCTTGGTTGTAGGTCCTTGCTATTCTTCACTTGGAATGGTCTTTCCACTCTCCTCTGGCCTGCAAAGTTTATATTGAAAACTCAGGTGACAGTCCTATGGCCATTCCCTTGTAGGTAACCAACTGCTTTTCTCGTGCTGCTTTTAAAATTCTCCCTTTGTCTTTAACCCTTGGCATTTTAATTATGATGTGTTTTGATGTGTGCCTTCTTCACGTTGGACCGTGCCCGCAACCCAGGCATGTGCCCTTGACCAGAATGAAACCTGGGACTTTTTTGGTCCTCAGACTGACGCTCTATCCTCTGAGCCAAATCAGCTAGGGCTGGCAACTGGTTTTTAGGACACAATCCTAGGCTAACAAGGAGTGTGAGTGGAAGGAGCATGGAATGAATCTATTCATGTGACACATGGAGGAAATGATTGACTACAGGAGATGACTCCAGCCTGAAGCCCGTAGGCACGAGGAGCATGCATGCTTGGGTGCATATGTGTGGCTAGTGCTGTCCAGGCCAAGGCAGGGCCTGGGCAGCATTCCCAACCCAGCGCATTCATTCTTGAGTCTGTGCTGAGCCTCCTCTCTGGCTTTGATGCCCATCTAAGATGTGTGCTAAAGACCATTTTCATTGTAAAGAGGGAACTGGACACTAAGGGAGGAAGCCTGGGTTTTGAGTAGGGAAATGTGGTTTAGGCCCCTCCTCAGCCACAAATTCACCATGATTAAATTGCCTATCCTGACTCTGACTTAAAACAAGATTATCTCTGTAGCCTTAACATGCCAGAAAACAAGATAGGTGATGACATTGACTCAACTAAATGGTCACACTGTAGATTTGTCCCTGGCAGGGAGTTCTGTCTTTATTCTGTTGTGCTTTCTATGATAGAGAATGCTATAGTAACCATCTTCAGTCATGGGGCTTTCTGTTTTTGTTGAATATATTTCCAGAAGGAAGTTACTTAGTCAGAGGACAGGAATGTCATTATGGCTGGTGCTGTGTATTGCCATGTTACTTTTCAAAAGCATTATAACAAGTTACAGTTGTCAGCTATGTACAGTGAGATAGCATTTTAACACTAACTGATCCATCACTAGGTATAGTCATTATTTACTGTTTTTGTAATTTAGTTGACATAAAATGATACCTTAAAATTGCCTTATCATAATTAGAGCTGTTGGGGTTTTTTTTTGGTGTCCACTGTTTAATGTTATGCTATGTTCTCTCATTTATTCCTCATAGTAAACCTATTCGGAAAGCTAAATAGCTCACCTAAGTCTGTGAACTGGGTTTTGAACCTAACATAGTTTGACCTCAAAGTGTATTCTTTCTCTGAATGCCTCCTTATGATTTGATGTGTGTGTGTGTGTGTGTGTGTGTGTGTGTGTGTATGTATGTGTGTATATGTGTGTGTGGTGCTATCAGAGAATGTGAACTTTTGCTTGTATGCTTGATTGTACATGAATTTTGTATAGTTTCTCAGAAAACTGAATGTGTTCTTTGTGTTATAGTGGAAACAACAACTGAGGTACATCCATTAAAATTAGAGAGAGGAGTCCTGGCCATTGTGGCTCAGTTGGTTGAGTGAGGTCATTGGTTCAGTTCCTAGTGAGGGCACATGCCCTGGTAGCGGGCTCAATTCTCAGTAGTGCGTGTGAAGAAGGCAGCTGGTCAGCGTTTCCCTTTCTCTCTCTCTCTCTCTCTCTCTCTCTCTCTCTCTCTCTCTCTCTCTCTCTCTCTCTCTCTCATCAGTAAAAACATACTAAAAAAATAAAAAATAAAACTGTAACCGGTTTGGCTCAGTGGATAGAGCATCGGCCTACGGACTGAAAGGTCCCGGGTTTGATACCTTGGTTGCAGGCACATCTCCAGTGGTGGGGACTATGCAAGAGGCAACTGATCGATGTTTCTCTCTCATCGATGTTTCTAACTCTCTATCCCTCTCTCTTCCTCTCTGAAAAAATTAATAAAATATATATTTTTTAAAAATAAATCATAATCATAATCATAATTTAAAAAATTAGAGAGAAGCCCTAGCCGGTATGGTTCAGTGGATAGTGTCGGCCTGCAGATTGAAGGGTCCCAGGTTTGAATCCAGTCAAGGGCACACACATACCTGAGTTGTGGGCTCAATCCCCAGTAGGGAGAGTGCAGGAGGCAGCCAGTCAGTGATTCTCTCTCATCATTGATGTTTCTCTCTCTCCCTCTCCCTTCTTCTCTGAAATCAATTTAAAAAATATTTTAAAAAAATTAGAGAAGACTCAGGTGAATTCCAGAATATTACCTCATGTCTAGATTCTCTGAAACTCGTGTTTTCTCCCCATGCAGCAGCCCTCCAGGCACTGAAGCGCAAGAAGAGGTATGAAAAGCAGCTGGCACAGATTGACGGCACATTATCAACCATCGAGTTCCAGCGAGAGGCCCTGGAAAATGCCAACACCAACACGGAGGTGCTCAAGAACATGGGCTATGCTGCCAAGGCTATGAAAGCTGCACATGACAACATGTATGTGGCCACTGGCTGGTGGGGGGCACTCGTGTGGCAGGGCAGTGCTGGCCCTGGAATGCCTGGAACTCAGGCCATGGCCTTGGCAGTCCCCTTGATTTATCCATTCAAACACCCGAGTTTGTTTTAATTTGCATTCTTTTTGAAACTCCTGCTAAAATGAATCATGTACCTTGCTGTCTTTAGAAGCAGATCTCTCGGAGTGAAGCAGTATTTTCTGAGTAATTCAGAGTTATTGTGATGAGCAGAGTTTCAGGCTGGAAAGGTTCTTAGAAGGTCTTCTCACCCAGGCCTCTGATTATCAAGGTGGGGAAGTCATGTCCCAGAGAGGGGAGGTGCTTTGCCCTGAGTTATGTATGAACTTGAATAGAACTAGGATTAGAACCAATGTTTGCTGCTATCAGGGACCCTGAAAGTACATCCAAGGACATTGAATCTCTCTATTTTTATGAATGCTTTTTCTTTTTTAAAAATATTTTTATTGATTTCAGAGAGGAATGGAGAGGGAGAGAGAGATAGAAACATCAATGATGAGAGAGAATCATTGATTGGCTGCCTTCTGCACACTCCTACTGGGGCTTGAGCCCACAACCCAGGCATGTGCCCTGGCCTGGAATCGAACCCTGGACCCTTCAGTCCACAGTCTGGTGCTCTATCCACTGAACAAAACCAGCTAGGCCTTATGAATGCTTTTGATGGAAGTTTCTGCCTCCCCCTTGCTTGCAGGCTTTGGCTCTCATATTGATAGTGTTCGTTCTTTCTTTCTTTTTTTTAAATATATTTTTATTGATTTTTCACAGAGAGGAAGGGAGAGGGATAGAGAGCTAGAAACATCGATGAGAGAGAAACATCAACCAGCTGCCTCCTGCACACCCCCCATGGGGGATGTGCCCGCAACCAATGTACATGCCCTTGACCAGAATCGAACCTGGGACCTTTCGGTCTACAGACTGACGCTCTATCCACTGAGCCAAACCGGTTTCGGCTTGATAGTATCCTTGGTTTAGCAGTCCCTCCTTTAGGTGGCTACTCCTCATATACTTTGGCCTAAGAAACTAGATAACCAAACTTGTTACAATCATAATTAAAGGCAAGGGTAACAGTAGGTTTCAAACGAGGGCCTCTCCCATGAACAAAATTGTTGCAGTTGTTTTAGTGCTTAAACTTGGTAGCTTATATGGGGGTGCTTAGAACCCCATTTTGCTTCCCTTTGGTTACTCAGCCATGATATAGAATAGGGACTGGCAAAATGTAGCCTCTAGGCCTGTTACCTATTTTATTGAAACAACAGTTGTGCCCACTAATTTACATACTGTCTGTGGCTTTTTTTGGGTGCTATGCAGGGTTGAGTATTTGCCATAGAGATCAGACGGCCCACAAATTCTAAAACTCACTATTTGGCCCATTGCAGGGAAAGTTTGCCGGTCTTTGCTGACCGATGTTTAATCGATCATAATACACTTCTCAAGTGTAGAAACGTGGGCCGCAGGAAAAGTGGCTTTCAGATGAGTGAGGTGTTGCCTCAGGGGGGATGTTCACTGGACTGAGCTTCCTGCGTGTGGTCCATGTCTGCTTCATTCCTGCATTCTCCTGGATGGCCAGTACAGAGCACTGCTCAGTAAATACTGTGCATACTCTGAAGTATATGTATATATACTCTGTTAATTATATGTTTATATGATTAAGATAGACAGTATCCTGCCAAAACCGGTTTGGCTCAGTGGTAGAGCATCAGTCTGTGGAGTGAAAGGTCCCAGGTTCGATTCCGGTCAGGGGCATGTACGTTGGTTGTGGGCACATCCCCAGTAGGGGGTGTGCAAGAGGCAGCTGGTCGATGTTTCTCTCTCATCGACATTTCTAGCTCTCTATCTCTCTCCCTCTCTGTAAAAAATCAATAAAAAATATATTAAAAAGAAAAGATAAAAAAAAAGAAAAATAAAAAAAGAAAAAAAAAGAAAAGATAGACAGTATCCTATCTAATAAAAGAATATTATGCAAATTGACCATCACTCCAAGACACAAGATGACCGTCCCCATGTGGTCAAAGATGGCTGCCACAAGATGGCCTGCAGGGAAGGCCAGTAGGGGGAACCAGGCTGGCAGAGGAGGACAGTTGGGGGAGACCAGACCAGCAAGGAAGGGCAGTTGGAGGGGACTCAGGCCTGCAGGGGAGGGAAGTTGGGGAAGGGAGGACCAGGCCTGAAGAGAAGGGCAGTTGCGGGAGACCAGGACTGTAGGGAGGGCAGTTGGGTGGGGCAGGCTGGGCTGAGGGATAGCCCTCTCAATATCCCCTTCTCCCCACACCGTGCATGAATTTTGTGCACTGGGCTTCTAGTATCGAAAATAATTCTGCATGTTTGCCATCTTTGGAGTCTAGTAGAGAGAGGACCACACATATATTTGAGTAGATGGGAAGGACCTGTTAAGTGGCATGGCTCATTTTGTTTTTGTGACTTTATGATTTGTTGCTTCCACTATAACACATTCCACTAAGAGCCCATTCCCCCATAATAGACCCTGTTCAAGAATTTCCTTTGAGCTTGAAGAAGAGCTATTGGCCCAGCAGTTAAAGTCCTGTGTTCTCATCTGACATGTTTACTAGTTTGCATGAGAGTCAATGACTGTAGCCCCTAGCTTTGCTAAACCTCATTTCGTTAGGGTGTTGGATTGGGGTGATATCTAAGGGCACTTCCATCCTCTTGATTCTGTGGTCCTCTATTTTAAAGGGCTAGTGGAAGAGAATAAAGACAAAGAGTAATTCCTTGCAGAGAGTAAGTGTAGGGGGTGGAGCTGGGAAGCAGATGGGTAGAGCAGAGTTTCTATTCCTGCCTCACAGACTCTTTCTTCACAGACGGATGGTTAATATGACATCTGTCCATTTCATTTACAGGGACATCGATAAAGTTGATGAGTTAATGCAGGACATTGCTGACCAGCAAGAACTTGCAGAGGAGATTTCAACAGCGATTTCCAAACCTGTAGGATTTGGAGAAGAGTTTGATGAGGTGAGTGTTTTCATGCAGATCACACAAACTTCACAAATGACACCGGCTGCCCTTTGATGTGCTAGTGAAGGGAGGCTCTCTCAGAGGCAGAATGTGGTTTCGAAAAAACCAGTTCTTATCCCTCCAAAGATTTGCATAAACAGGGCATGGTATTAACCCTGCCTAATTCTCAAATTTGAGGGACACTTTCACTGTTTGGGGTAGAAGGTTAGGTGAAGTAAAGGAACTTTTGTTGGGACCCCACAATGGGCTTTAGGTCAATAATTGGTTTCCACAAGTAGTTACCTCCACAGCTGAGTCCTGAGGGAATTGGTCTGGAACTTGGTCACTTACCAGTTTCTGCTATAGCAAGTAGGACTCTGAGTCTCTTAGATTTTTAAACAATGATTGGGTTACCAAAGAAGAAATCGATTTTGAAATACAGTAATAGACTCTGTTGAAGGTACTTCATCTGCCTTAGATTTGAGTCCACTGAGGGTCAGGCCCTCTCCACTGCACCTGATTCTCTCCACTGCTGCCTGATTCCCATGGTGTAGGTGGCTAAATGGCCTGTGGCTCCTACCCGTGGTTGCCAGTCCCAGGGTTTTCATGTTTTCCAGTTGGAGTTTGATGGACTAGGCAAGTTTATTCCAACCCAGCAAACATTCATGCACATTCACTTAGTGCTCTCAGTTCTGAGATAAAGCAATAGGATGAAAAGATACAATCCATTTTCTCAAGATGCGCACAGCCTAGTGCAGACACAGACATAGACATCAGTATTGCTCGATTGTGTATTATGTTCACCAGTAGAAGCGAATTCAGGATGATTGAGTCACAGAGTGTGGACCTGGAGTTCATCTCTTCTCTGACCTCTCAGAAGGGGTGTGTGTCCCCTCAGCCATCAGGCAAAAGGTACTGCTGCGGAGGCTGGGATTCACCAGGTACCTCTCTCATTCTTGTATTTCTTTTACCAGGACGAACTCATGGCAGAATTAGAAGAACTAGAACAGGAGGAACTAGACAAGAATTTGCTGGAAATCAGTGGACCTGAAGCAGTTCCTCTACCAAATGTTCCCTCTATAGCTCTACCATCAAAGCCCAGTGAGTGCTCTTACCCGGCGTCCCGCACCCATGATGCCCCGTGATCACTTGGTTTGAGTTTGGGTCTAGCGTTGCCCAGAGTCGAGAACCAGGTGGGATCTGTTGTGGTGGCCCCGAGACAAGTGCCCTATCCTAGTTTCTCTCTAGAACAGGGTTTCTTATCCGTGGCATTGCTGACTTAGCCAGATTGTCCTTAGGGCTGGGGCTGGGAGGAGGCCTCTCCTGCACACTGTGCATGTTGAACAGCATCCCTGGCCTCCTCTTCTTTTTTTTTCTTTCTTTTCCATAAGTAATTATTTTATTGTTTGAAGAATTACATATGTCTGCTTTTCCCCCCATCTACCCCTCCCCAGACATTTTCTCCCCCCCCCCCCCCCAGGACAAGCGTCCACTGTCCCAGTGTCTGTGTCCATCGGTTATCATATGCATGTATACAGACAGGTCTTTGGTTGATCTATTACTACCCCCAACTCTCTCCCCCTTCCCTCTGAGGTTTGATGATTCCCTGTTTCTCTGTCTCTGAATCTATTTTTGTTCATCAGTTTATGCTGTTCATTATATTTAAAAAATGAGTGACATCATGTCATATTTATCTTTCTCCAACTGGTTAATTTCGCTTAGCATAATGTTCTCCGGGTCTGTCTCTGGCCTCTTCTATCCACTAGATGCCAGTAGCATCCCTTCCCAAACTGTGGCAACCAAAAATATCTCCAGATATTGCCAGATGTCCCCTTCGGGATGTGGGGAGGTATCACCCCCAGTTGAGAACCCAGAATGATTTTTCCTGTGTCACCAAATAAGGCCTGAGCGAAGGTGTGAGAGTTCAATCCCAGGACAGCTCTTGCTCCGCGTCTGGAATCCTGCGCTGCACGCACCTGTGAAAGCCGGGCGCCTCAGAGCCGTCACTGTGGGAAGGAAATAGCTTGGCTTTTTAAAAGTCCTGGTTTTATAAAACTTCCATTTCCTTCTGCCTGCTCCCCCCTCCCCCATTATTTTACCCTTGGGTGGAAGTATTCCACACAGAACTAGAAAAGGGGAAGCCGTTTGACTTGGCAGAGAGAGTGCCCGGGGAGCAGAGTGTGATCAGACTGTAACCACCCCCTTCTCCCCGTTTCCAGGAGGAGATGCCCTTTGAGTTGAGGCAGCTGTTCGGGTGGGCGGAATAGGGGCAGAGGAGTCCAAATGTCCAGCAAGTTGCCTAGAGGTGTAGAGAGGTGGTTCAAGACACTTGATGGAGAAAGGGAGGTGGCAAGGATTTGATCTCTTCTGGTATTTTTCCTTCTCTTCCTGACCTTGGATGCTGTGGAACCGAGGCCTCCCCTGAATTTTAACTCTGAGTGTAGAATTCTTGTTTTGTCTGGCCCTGATGTTGGTAGGAGGGAGGTGCTGGGGGAAGTGTGCCCGGTTATCTGGAGTTTTTCGTTGCAGCTTTTAGGCACAGAGAGGCAGTCTGCTGATAGCTGGGAGATGAGGTTGCTGCAAGGGCAGGGCTGTTTTTGCACAGTCCTGGCACCCAGCCAGAATGAGTTGCGAGGACTACAACTAGCCCTTCTCATTTGCCTTTTCTCTTGTCACACAGCCAAGAAGAAGGAAGAGGAAGACGACGACATGAAGGAATTGGAGACCTGGGCTGGAACCTTAAATTAACTGGCCCATTGCAAGCTGGGCCCAGACAGACTCTGGTGACCTGCAAATGGGCAGGCGTTTGCGTGTGCAGGGCAGGCAGGACGTGGTGCAGGCAGTTCCATCGCTCTCGAATCTCCCTCCAAAGCAGTAGGGCTGCATCACTGCTCACTCTGCCTAGCATGGTCTGTACCCAGCGGGGTGGGCGGGGTTAAGGGTGGGTGGGTGGGATGGGAGGTGCCTGCTGTTTATAATGTTGAATTTCTGTAAAATAAACTGTATTTGCAAATCCAACATTGAGCTTCTGGACTACGCTAACTCCACTGCTGAACCTCAATGGAAAGGGTCGACCATTTGCAGTTGAAATGATCTAAAAATGTAGCCTCTGTCCTTTTAATTCAGTTGACTTGTTGTACATCTCTTTGTAAGACTTGTATGGTACTGGCAGAAAAGTCGTTTTTTAAAAGCCATAGGCTTTTCCTTGTCCTTAGCTGTAATAATGCATCTGATTTTGGTTTCCTCAAGAGCTGTATTTCTGTCCATCGCCTGTGTACTGGCCCCCGTGTTTTCTATTCCAGCCCACTCCTCACTTCCACTTCCCTTGTCTTTTGACATTTGTGACACTAATTTGAAATGGATGGTGTTCTCTTGAGAACAAGTGAGATTGTTAGAGTTAAATTCCAGCTATATGTTTTTCTAACATAGCTCTAAGGTCCTTGTTGCTGTTTGTGATAACTGATAGATAACTCATTGGAAACATGTGCATACATTTATATTCAGATGAAATTATGGTTTGCACTGTCTATTAAATATCTCAATTAATTTTCATACTTTGCGTTGTGTTCAATCAATCTCTCATTTGCTTTGGGAGTTGACCATTTCCAGGCTAGCATGGTCCAGTGGAGCCTGCGGAAACATATAAGACTTGAGCATGACCTAAATCAACAATTTGAACCAAAGAGCAGAATGTATCTTATTAGAAATGTGTTTAGGCTCTGAAAGCCATGCATCTGTGGCCTTCACCTTGCGTAGGGGCCTCTGGGAACAGGTTAGGAGTGAGTGAGTTGCTTCTTTGTATAATAGCTCCAGTGTTTTCCCCAGTTCTTCTCCATCAGTGTCCATAGGCAATGCCAGCAGGAAAACAGCCTTCACCTGTTAAAAACCATGGTGTTCCTGCTAACCAGGCCCTTCAATCAGGCGCATTGAAGAAAATGGCCTTTTTCATGAGGAACAAGTGTAGGGCAGTGATTGAGAACCTAGGACACAAATTGTAGTCTCGGGTCTGCGGTGATTTGCCATTGACTTTGACCTGGACTCTTCCACTCTCTACTCTGCCTTAGTCTTGTACTCTCTTGAGAATCTGATGAATGCTATGGACCCTCTCCCTCAGAAAAGTGGATCTGTGCATATTCATTTTTAAAAACAAAACAAAACATATTTTATTGATTTTTTTACAGAGAGAAAGGGAGAGGGATAAAGAGCTAGAAACCTTGATGAGAGAGAACATTGATTAGCTGCCTCCTGCACACTCCCCACTGGGTATATGCCTGCAACCAAGGTACATACCCTTGACTGGAATCGAGCCTGGGACCCTTGAATCCACAGGCTGACGCTCTAGCCACTGAGCCAAACCAGTCAGGGCAGTGCATATTCATCTTTAATTCTGCATGCAAATTGGCAGAATTGAGAGTTCACAATTAAACACTACCATCACTCACTGGGTGCCCTGGGGCAAGTTTGCCCCTACCATGGATCTCTTTCTCACCTGTGAAAAAAGGGTGGGCCCTAGCGGTGAAGTTGCACATGCGCTGTTCCTCATTGTTGCTTTCCCAGAGCTGCCACCTCAAGAAGAATCTAGTAGCAATGTTTGCTGCCAGCTTTTACCTCCTTTACTTGCAGTTGGTGGTCCCTGGGCTACATGGGTGTGCGAGGTGGACATTAAGCTCTTCTCATCAGCTGCTTCAGGGGTTTCTAAACCAGGTGTGAGTGACGGGGTCTAGAGGACTTCCTTTTCTGTCTCTTATAAGGACACTTGTCATTGTTGGGGCCCCCCTTAAAGTAATATGATCTCACCTGTGATCCTCACCTTAATTATACATCTACAAAGACCTTATTTCCAAGACACTTATTTCCAAGTAAACATGAATTTGGGCACACTGTTTAATGCCCTATGCTGTCTCATTTAGCTTGAAAGGTCACCCAGCAGGGTTTAGAAAGTTCTGAGATAGAGATGGGAAACACGGATTATGGACTCCATTTGCTAGATGGGAAAACCAAAGCTTAGAGAAGCTTTGGATTCCACTGCTAATAAGTGACAGAAGGATTAAGCAAATGAATTTCTTGTCTCCTGAAGACCATTTATTCAACAACTGTATTTTGGACACCTTTGTGTCAGCTCTAACAATGCTCATGGTTTGGTGGGAAAATTAGGCTCTGGTCATCTTCCCCTTCATCATCATTGCCTTCACACACTGGGAATCAATGTAGAATAATCCATTGAGTAAAGGGTTACTGACCCAGAGGGCTTGGGAAGGAAGCACTGTCTCATCCAAGATTGAGAGGTGCTAAGGACTCAAGAAGGGAAAAGACAGGAAAGACAGAGAGAAGGAGAAGAGTTGTTTTTGTTCTTGTTTGTTAATCCTCACCTGAGGATATTTTTTCCATTGATTTTTAGAGAGCACGGGAAGGAGGGAGGGAGAAAGAGAGAGAGAGAAACATCATCGTGAGAGAGACACATGGATTGGTTGCCTCCCACAGGGCCCCATCCAAGATGGGAATCCAACTTGCAACCCTGGTATTTGCCCTTGCCTAGGAATTGAACCTGCAATCCTTTGGTGCTGAATTGGCGCTCTAACCACTGAGCACATCGGCCAGGGAGGAGGATAGCTTTTAATGGTATGTGCAAAGGCCTGGGGGATTACTCTGGGCACCCTTGTGGGTCTGAACTGGACAATGACACAGAGTTAATACTTTTGGTAAAGATTTAATGAAGTGAATTATAGTTGGGGAAACTGAGGTACCAGGTGTTACAAATCCTATAGCATGTACAGGCAGAGCTAAGATAGGAACTCAACTACCCTGTTTCCCCATCTAGGTCTCTTGTGTGCACTGGGTACCATCCTGCAGAAAGTTTCCTTCTGCCTGGCAGGTGTAGCTCAGTGGTTGAGTGTTAACCCATGAACCAAAAGATTCCTGGTAGGGCTTCTGCTCGGATTACGGGTTCATTCCCAGTAGAGGGAGTGCAGGAAAAAGCTGATTGGTGATTCTGTCTCGTCATTGATGTGTCTCCCTTTCCCTTTCTCTCTCTGAAATCAATTTAGAAAGAAAAAATAAATAGCTTCCTTTCTTCCTGCTAAACTGCATCCTGGCTTTACTCCGAGGAGACAAGTAGAGCTGGGATAGAAGCACAGAACTTTGTTACCTGCAGCTCAGACTCTGCACCAGTCCCAAGCTAGATTTCCATGAGGCTGTGGCTGTACTGGGTCCACATTCCCACAGGGTGACTTGGGCTGAAGCAAAAATGTTCTGCTCACAGTGACATTACTTGTCTGGACTTTTTGGTTTTCAGCATGAGCAACAGTCCCAGCCAGGCTGGGCGTGGCTCAGTGGTTGAGCATAGACAGACCTATGAACCAGGATGTCACAGTTGGATTCCTAGTCAGGGCACATGCCTGAGTTGCAGACTCTTTACCCAGTGTAGCATGTACAGGAGGCAGCCAATCAATGATCCTTTCCATCGATGTTTCTCTCCCTTTCTCTTTGTCTCTGAAATCAATTGTGTGTGTGTGTGTGTGTGTGTGTGTGTGGCCACAGTCCCAAAAGAATGACAGACTATAAGGGAGCATTTACTAAGACTGGGCACTTAGCTCTAACTGGTTTGGCTCAGTGGATAGAGTGTTGGCCTGCAGACTGAAGGGTCCCGGGTTCAATTCCGGTCAAGGGCATGTACCTTGGTTGCGGGCACATCCCCAGTGGGGAGTGCGCAGGAGGCAGCTGATAGATGTTTCTCTCTCATTGATGTTTCCAACTCTCCCTCTCCCTCTCTGTAAAAAAAATCAATAAAATATATATTTTTTAAAAATGACTGGGCACATATATCTGCTTCATTTTATTTAATCCACACAGGAACTGTTTTCAGGGCAGGACTACTCATTGCCCGATTTTACCGCAGAGAAAACTCAGGCTCAGGGGGATAAAGTGACTTGCCCAAGGTCACAGAGCTGGTGAGCAGTGGCACAACAAAAATCCTGGAATACCTTTTTCTGCCACCGTGGTGGGGAGGGGCAGGTTCACAGAGACTCCTTTCTCCTTTAGAAGGTGCCAACTAAATGTGACCTAATACTAGGGCCCAAAGAAGTGGCCAACTATCTTGGAAATCTTCCTGCCAAGAGTAAAAGGCCCCAGGCAGCAGGATCTGGAATGGAGTGGTGGTCAGAGCCACACAGCAAGTTAGACTCCTAGCTCCTTCCACAAGGAGCTTCGGAGGTGGGATCCCTCTGAGGCTGGTTTGCTCTCCCCACCCTGAGGCCTCACCTCTTTTTCCCCAGACCATCCCACTGACACGACCTCTGTTCCTTCTCTGCCTCTCAGTATGGGCAGCTACGTGGGGGGCACTTGGTTCCTTCACAGAAAGTGTGCAAGAAGACATTACGGTACATAATGATGACAGTTCCTCTTAGCTATTGCTTCATAATAAACCATCCTGAAACATAGTTGTGAAAAGCAATTATTTCATTATGCTCATCAATTTTGTGGTCCAATATTTGTAAAAGGCCAGTGGGAACAACTTATCTCTGATCTGTGATAACTGGAAAGACCTACAGAGACCTAAAGGCTGGTGGTGACTTTAGCAGCTGGAATCATCAGACCTCTTCAGTCCTATGGTGTGAGGGACCATTGATGCTGGTAGTAGGCTGGGACCTCTCCTGAACTGTCAGCAGGAGCGTGAGGCCTCTCAAATTGGCTTGAGCTTTCTCACAGAATGAAGGCCTCAATGTAGCCTGAACTCAGGGCTCTAAAAGTGA